GCGCGGGGGCGGGGCCGCATGATCGAAGGGCTCCCGCGGCCGGACCCGCTGGCGCTCCGCGCGGCTCTCCCACGCTCCCTCCCTGCTCTGCTGCTGCTCGTGGCCCCCACGGCCGCGCTGCTGCCCCGATACAACAATGCTCTCGTCCTTCCCCCTTCTCTCCTCCCCCCGCTCTCCGACGACGTGCTGCTGCTGCCCGTCCCGTCCAGATCCTCCTCCCGTCCTCTACGACGCCCTGCGGCACGGCGGCCAGTTAGCACGTCCTCCTTCCGCGAAAGAGTTTCTCCTTTATGGCGACCCAACATCGTTAAAATCTGATTGACGCGTTGCTGCTGCCGCTGCTGCCCCGGCCACCGCTACCGGGGGCGCGAGGTCCGGCCACGCCCCCGCCGCGCGCTCGAGTCGTGGAGAGGGGTTTCAAACAAAACAAAAACAGAACGGGTAACGCGGGTTTGACCTCGATAGTTTTTGGTCCGCGCACCTGCCTGGCGCCAAGCCTTTCACAACGTCGTGTAACCCCTCCCCACCCCTCGCCGCGTCCACGCACCCACCTGGTGGTTGGTTAGAGTTTCCTCCGACTGGTGTTATCTGCAAAGAAATGCCTCCAAAAAAGTCGAACACCAACCTCTCTCAAAAGCGTGTGAAAAGAAAAACTTCTTGAAGCCGCAAATTAAAAGGGGTGAACGAACGGGTCGCTCTACAGCTCGGCGGGAACGAGCTTCGGTTGGTTATTTATCTCCCCCATGCCGGACCGCCTTTGCTTCCATTTATCGCGTCAATTCTTTATTTGCATGGCGAGGCGGCCGCCGCGGCCGCGCTCCCTGGTGACTGATTTACACCGCGCAGGGGCCGCGTGAGCGCCGCGCGCCATCACGCTAACGATCCAAAAAGCCTAAAGAGAGAGGGAGAGAGATAGAGAGAGGAGCTGCGGCGGCTACGGGTGGCGTTATTGAGTTGTAATCGAATGAGAGGCATTCAGGAGAGAGCCTTCCTCGCCGGGGCCGTCGGGGGCCGGCCCGGTCCACCCGCGGGAGGTACGAGGTGAGGAGGTGCGTGCGTGCGTGTGTGTGTGCGCGGGAGACATCGGTCTGAGTTATTGTGCCCCTCTGGTGGTGTGTTCAATCTCCGGCCACCAGGAAGCGCCACCTACCAAACCTAAACCACCTCTGTGCGCACGCGTGCGGTAATGCGCGTCGGGGCCCTGGACTGAAATACAGCTCGTGTGTTGACAGTCTTTATTTCCTGGGCCTTGTGTGAGTGTGTGTGTGTGTGTGAGTGTGTGTGTGTGTGTGTGTGTGTGTGTGTGTGTGTGTGTGACTGTCCTTGTGTAGCCCGTCGTCGCTCCTGCGACCACCGCGACACACCTCCCGACCGGGGTTTGTCGTCTGCTCATGTCGATCCTAGAACGAAGAGCACAAATTTTTCCAACGGTGCTTGGGAATTTTGACCGGGTGCAGTCTCGCGTCGCGTCCCAATCTTCCACACTACGGCGCTGCCCTTGTACTTTGTTTGTCCCTGTCTCTACTCTTTCCCAGTATTATTGACTGTATTCGACTTTGCTGTGTGCATTCGTCCACGCTCCTCCGTCCGCCCTTTCATCGAATTACCCCACCACCACCACACCCCTTCACCTCATCCATCCAGGCAGGGGGCTTATCGAGGAGTTAGTTACGACGATCGCCATGTGTACGCCGCTGGCACCAGCAGCTAGCTCGTCTCGGTGGCGCGGACCTCTGACCCCCTTGACCCGCCGCCGTGGCTCTAACGTCCATAGGCGCGGGGCGGGGCGAGCCGCTGCTGCTGCTAGTGGAATAGAGGGTACGCGCCACCGGATCAGAAGCTTTGGACGTGCGACCACTCCCACACCAGCGTGCGGGCTCAACCAGGAGGAGCAGGCGCTTCTCTACTCCCGCGCGGAGCGGAGTGAGGGCGCGGCGGCGGTGCGTGGCGGTGCGCGCGGAGGTCAGCCGGGAGGTCGCCTCCTCGTGCTGCTGCTGCTGCCGCTGCTGCTGCTTGGCTTCGATGATGTGCTTGATAAGCAATTATTGCTGGCGGGACAATTAGTGGTGGCGGCTGCAATTACGGGCCCCCGGATTATTATGACCGGACTGCTGGACTGGAGGACACGACGCGCCGCCGGGCCGCGCCGGGTCGGGCCCGTCGTGGACGTGGATGCGTGCAGGCCCGCGGCCGCGGCCTCGGCGGGGGAAGAGAGTCCCCAAGCCGAGGAGACTACTTCTTCCGTTCTACTTGCACCCCGTCGACTACTGACTGCGTTTGTCGTAGACGACGGCGAGCACGAACTGCTTCAGTATGTGGGCCTGCACATGGCGGAGCGGGGCGGAGCCGTCGGGCGCGTGATCGGCCCGGTAGCGATGAGGCAGATAGGCGTAGCGGCGTAGCGGGCCTCCTAACCGAGCGCGGCCGTCCCGTCCTGCGCCCGTGAGAGCGGCCCGCCCTCCGCTGCTGGACCGCTCCTGGGGGGGCCGCTTGGCCTGGCCCGCGGCCCCGCCCCTGGAGGGCCTGGAGCTGGGCGAGCAGGCCCCCGAGCAGGTGGGCGGCCGGCCGGTGGGACGGGTCGTTTTGCTGGACTGTCGCCAGGCAGAGCCCGGCCCGGTGGTGCGGTGGGGCTGGAGATCAAGGGTCAAACCCCCATGTGGTCCGGCAGCAGCGGGTGCGGGCGCGCGGTGGGCCCCGGCCTGGCCGCCACCCTGCAGACTGATTCCGAAAAGACCTCAAGGGGCGCTGTCCTATGAGTGAGACAAGGACGGAGCTAGCTATACGGAAGGTATAGGTAAGGTTGGTTCTTCGGAATCAGTCGGCTGGTGGAGGACGCCGCACTGTCTGTCACGCCCAGCCCCGCACCCGCATAGGGCAGACGTCCGCCTGCTAGGGGTTGTCGACCGCCACGCCGCCGCCAGGGCCGAGAGGTCGCGCGCCTGCTGCAGACGTTGTGGCGTCGTCGTCGCCGTGTTCGGAGTTCGGAACGAGACCCAGGAGGCGCGGGCAGCAGAGACACCGGCACCACTTCTCCGCACCGCTGGAAGCATCCTTTCGACCGGGGTTCGCTTCAGGCCCCGGGGGCGAAAGTGACCTCACCGGCGAGGAATGGACCAGCCCCAACCCAGCCCAGCCCGGCGCGCACCCACACCTCTGGCCTGTCAGACTGCCTGGCCCCCGCCCGGCAACTGCCCTGGGCCCCGGGCCCTCCTGTCCTCGTACATCACACCGCCAGCCAGGTCAGATCGCGTGCAGTCTTCTTATCTTCTGCTATACGGTGCTGCTCCAAACAGCACCGCTCAAATACTTGGCATGGAGTGACAAACAGCCACGGCCGACCCAGTGAGAAACGATTAATCAAAAATACATCAATTTGACGTAAATTCGTCAAAATATCATCAAATTACGGGACGAGTTTTCGTGAAAATCACGCCATTTACGTCAAATTGATGTCTTTTGGATTGATAATTTCTCATAGGGAATGCCACAATGTTCTGAGTTTCACATTTGTACCACAAGAGCACGCCACAGTCCATCCCCCGCGCCCGCCCCCTCCAACCCGTCCACCTCGCCGTTTTGCCTATTATATCAAACTTTGAGTAAGTTTTCTATGTCTAACGCTTGAGTGTCAATAGCTGGTCCTTCTGGATTATCGTCTCCTAATATTTTTGCTTCATTCTCTCTCTGTAGGTAACCGATACGTTTTTCAAAGGCCAGTCTGGTCCAGAAATAATTAGGCGTGTTGAGGTTAGGAACTTGGTGCCATGGATCACAGCATCCTACAACCTGCATTGTTATTCAAGTAAGTTGTTACCTGTAGTGTAAGGCAGCTGGATATGCATAAACGTTTGAACCCTGTACACATTTTTAAAATGGTGCCTTGCATTTGGTATGCTCAACAGTCTCATTTAGACTTTGATGAGGCGTGAGCATTGAAGGCAGAATATCCGATTGTGTATCAACAGTGCGTGAGAGATCTGTTTAATATAGATCACTTAGATAGGTGCAATGTGTGAGATGAGTTCCAGAGTTTCTGCAGATCAATTTTAGCTTTCAGTAGTTACTCATTCATTTTCCAATGTCGTTCAATGAGACCAACCAAATTCTTATTCATCAACTTGCATGCAAGCGACAGTTGTACATTTTATTTTCCAATGTTTGTGTGTAATAATTTGAATCCGTGAAGAGTGTTTATGTTGAAATACCCTTATGCGAGTTTTGTTGGGTGTTTAGTTATGTATTTAAACACTTATAGGTTAGAGTACACAGCAGGAATGAAAGTAATGTTTTAGGACATCTGGAACACTGATTATCAGCTTATATGTAGTCAAAAAACACAAAAAATCAGTTCCTAAGCGGAATTTTAAAAACACACCAAATAGTAACATGTTTATTTTTATAGCGCGAGCCTGGCGCGCCGGCGCCTGCGAAACTCAGGGTAGGCCACCCCGCAGTACACACATGCACTACTGGACAATATGTTGCCTACCTATTAGGCGCTCAGAGCTTGCCTGAAACATGGCAATTTCTTATCAGCAGATGACTGACGCACTTTCTGGATGATCGCATCACAATGAGAGCGATAGTTTAAGATCGGGTATATTTCTTGGCAGAAAAAGTTGTGTTCTACAACACGACTCCCTTGTTTGTTTTTTGTTTGTTTGTTTAAATATACTGAATTCTGTGGGAATTTTACCAGGACTATTAGGACAGGACAAGGCTAGCCCGTTTCTATGCTTATCTTCACGAACGCACAGTTTACAATCGAATGCGGCTTTTCAGCCACACGATTTTCGTGTTTCTGAGGTATGGAATGGATGGCGGCGGCGGTGGTGGCGGTGGGCCTCATGCGTGGCCGCTGCATCGACTTGTATCTCGCACGCACTAAATAACCCTCTCTCTCCTCCCGCCAACACGCCCCCCCCCCCTCCTCTTCCACCCGCCCGCGGTCACTGGCCGGTTCAGTCGCCTGCGCCCGGCCGCCGCCGGCCGCACTGAAATACACAGATGAATCAAAAACATAAAACGAGTCGCACTTATCTCTCTATCGACGGGCGTCATCTTCGATATTGGAACTGTCTTGCAGCAAGATGGCTGTCGTCCAGCTGCTGTACTCTTTTCGATATCTCGTTCGGTTAATGCTCGGCGATACAGTGCGTTGCGCGCCCAAAGGGTTATTATTTGCTGAAAAATTACCCAAATTTGTTGAATTATATCGACCCCAAAGCATTTGCTTTGCAATTACCCTTGTCTTCATAGCATGCATGCGGGGCGGGGCTTCGATAGCGGCATTTTACAGTGTAAACCCTTTGCGATTTTGTCAATAAAAATAATGCGATTTGTAAATCGCCGCCGCCGGTCTTGATGCGTACGTTTGAGGGGGGTGACAACCCCCCCCTCCCCCGCGGGGGCTCCGAGCGGGTGACTCACCCAACTACTCTTTATTTATGTTACCCCGGCCGCGCCGCGCTGGCTGGCTGCTCCGCGCCGCTCCGCGCTGCTCCGCGTGCCAGCGGTGGTAATTGGAACACACCTCATCGTTCAAACGCAGGGCGACGGCGAGCGCATTGGGAAGTCAGGCCGAGGGAATGGTCCTCAGATTTATGCCGACTCCCCCTCCTTGGACCAGAGAGAGAGAGAGACAAGAGCAAGAGATAGAGAAAGGGTGTTAATTGGAACATTTGGAACACACCTCGCTGAGCTGCAACACTGGCTGCGCTCCTCCTCACACGTCGTATAACGCGACTGTTTACAGTAAAGGCAACGTTTCCTTTCGTTTGTTTCTTTCGTCGGCGATATTTTTCCTGATTGGACTTTTGTCCTTGTATCCTACAAGTATTTCAAAATTTCAGCGCAAGGATACTGTGGCGGGCTCGAGTGGGGGATATATTGTAAATCCATTGCAAATTAAACGCTCTAGAAAGGGTAGTCAGGGTGGTTTTCGTGATTATCGGGATCTGCGGTGCGAACGCTGATCTCACATAGCCCATCTATAGATTATAGCTAGGATCGGATGAGCTATATAGCTATAGCTGATAGATTACCTAGTTAGCTACCTCTGCCGTCTTCCGCCTCTGACCCACGGCCCAGAGGGAGTAAGTAAACTCGCCCACACGCGTGCATGCGATACAGTTTAACTGCTGAAATTTTATAGTCTGGAAACCAAAAACGCCTCTGTACGTGTTATTACCTGAGGACATGGCGGGACATTCCTTCTTTATGCAGAAGGTAGAATTAGAAGAAAAACATATATTTAAAACTGGACACTATTAATTAGTTGATACAAAAATACTTTTGGTTTTGGATCTCAGCAGCAATAGACCGTAGTTTCAGCTCTTCATGCTGCCTTATTGTGAGTTGTTCGTTGCGGATGAAAGCTTTCCTTTGTTTCTTTTTACTTTCGTCCTGGGGGACTCGACAGTTATTGCACTAAACTTATGTTGCGAAGTTGCACTGCCACTGGCCGGGTAGCGCGAAGCAGGGCGATACTACCGGGGCAACCAGCAGCAGCACCAGCAGCAGCGAGTCGAGGCATAAACTAACAATTTGCATCCATTTATTTAAGGTGTTTGTGGAAGTAATACAAGTCGGGCAGCTGCTGCCGCCGCGCGCCACCGGCTCGGGCGGGCTCTCTTGCTTCGTGATTACGCCCCGTTGATAAAGTCGTCACAATTACCGTCGGTTTGAACTGACGTCCCGAAACGTTAATTTATTTATAGTCTTTTGGCCTGATGGAACGTCCGTCCGTCCGTGCGGCGCTCGCTTCGACTCTCTGGTGGTGGTGCTGCCGCTGGCCGTCGCCGCCACCCGCTGCTGCTGCTGCTGCCTCGGCGATGACGATGGGGTTTGGCCTTTTTCCATCCCATGAATGGACAAAACGGAGCCAAAACGCCGGCGCGCTGCACTGCTTCTGGGTGTAATTACGGTTAAAATATGTATGCGAGGTCGACCCCCCCATCCCCCCCCCTCCGGTCGGGCAAGAGCAGGGCCTGCGTGTTCATTCTGTTCACAGCTCTCCGCCACAGCAGCGGCCCAGCCCAGCCCGGCCCGGCAGTCAAGTAGGTATTCGTTAATTACACTGGATTATAGGGTAGGTTTTGTCGGCTTCCATTGGCCGGAAACTCCTGCGCGCCGCGGCACCAAGCCCGTAGTGGTGTGGTAGGGCTTGCGGGCTGATA